GAAATTAAAAGAGATATAGGCGAAAAATCGAAAATGATCGGAAACCTCGACATTGCAATCAAAGGAAACCCGTTCCAGGTAATTACCGTTGTCACTCTCATGCTAAAGCCACCGATATCCGACCATGTTTTTCGTGACAGCGCGCAATTGCCAAATTATAGAGCCGCGATTTTTCGACCGCAGAGACGGCTACTAGAAAGGCGCTGGCGTCACCTCACGCGTTGCAATTTCACGGCGAAGGGAGGACGATGTGGACGAATGAGCGGCATCCTCGGTGCAGTATCGTAAAAGATGATGTGCAACGCTGATCGTAAAAATAATAGAAAACTTGTCGCAACGCGACGTGGCAGCCAATAAATCTCCGACGAAAGAATGATGACTTTCGATGACGCAATGATGTTGCCGAGTTGCCAGGTAAATGGTCCGATCGCGGCGGTTTGTACTTTACACATGGAGAAGTCGTTGTCAGTTCGTTCCCGTAAACGTCGGCTAAGGTTAAAATTCAACTGACTAAGTCTCTACTTATGCAAAATAAATCAGAAACTCAATAGGAAACTTAACTATGTCCATTTAATGCTGTCCATTTTTGCGACAACAAAAGCAAAATAAAATAACAAATATTTAAATGCGCACTTTGGATGATAACTTAACACTCGAGATCGAACGGACTATTAATTAGTATACTTCACACAAACATTAGTTTCATTATTGTCTGTCGTGCCTCGTCGTATCGTTCATTTAAATTTAACGCACTCATCGCTTTACATTGTTCTGCGTATATACCAGAATGTAGACTTTACATATTCGTGCGCGCACGAATTCGTATTTTGCACACTTCACGATTATGAATAATTATGTGACGTTACGTGGTGAAACACGTTTGAAATATTAAACTTCAAATGTTTTGCTTTTAATTTTAAACTCAAGCTTAAACTCAAGTTGTATAACGGCGTTATACAACTTGAGTATATTTGTTACTATATTCGAAAATTTCTGTAATAAATCCTTTCGCGAGCTTTAAATTTAAATTAAACTTTTGCTTAGCATTAGTTTAAAAAATAATTTAAAATTTTATGCGACAAATTTACAATGCTAAAATATGCCAAATGTTAATATTTGCATAAAATAGTGCATATATTTTATCGCTCATATAATGACGAATGATTCTATCAAACCTCATCGGTTGAATTTCCGATATTATCGAACTATGTTGTATTAAATATTTATCCGGTGATTATTAGCAACATAACAACATAGCAATTATTGATTAGTAGAAAATTATTGATTATTAGAACAAAGGGAAATGTGTGTGTTCAGATGTTATTGAAGAGAAATGGACGAGTACCCAGGAGCTTTAAAAGCAGAACTTTTCACGAAGCATTCATTGTTTATCCCATTTAAACAAGAGAAGTTAAATTTAAGTAAATATATTGTCGGTTTTCTCACCGAATAAATCTTTTATTAAAATTTTATTAAATATCTTTTATTTTTTTTTAGATACTCTTTTTTTCTCAGTGCATTTTCATTTTTCCACATTTATAACTAAAGCAATTTTTATATTTAATATAATTTGAGAATCGATCGAATCACTATTTGAAATATTTTCGCGCGACAAACACATGGGTGTGCGTGTGCACATTTACTTGCACACATATTGTACAAAGTATTGCCACTGCAACCGAATCATGTAAAAAATCAAAATATTCGAGCGCGTCGTAATTCCGATGTAGTCGCGCGGCTCTTGCGGTATCAACCTTGCGACCGCGTGCATTCAGGATCACTTATGTTGTCTTACCAGTTAAAGTCGACCAACGTAACAACATGTCATTGGTTTCCTGCTACGCTTTCTTCCCGTCAGCCATTTCACCGTCGATATAAACCACTATCCGAAGGTTCACGTGCAATAGAGCAAACGAGCGTTCACGACATTCATGCATGCAATCGCGTGCATACGTTCGTATGTATACGCGCACATCCGTCCATATGATCGAACATGTTGCTGTACCGAGGGACATCAACGACAGTGAAACTTGCAATCTCATAAAAAAAATACAATTCATATATTCGTTTCAACGTCTCGTCGCATAATTAATCGATGATGCGATCAAATGGAAGAAGATTGAGAAGTGTGAGCGACTTAATTGATTCGACATTCCGAAGTTTTAAATTAGTGTATTAGAACGTGGATTTTCTTGGATTCCAGAAAAGATTTGTGACGCAGCAAGTTTTCATAAAAGTATCGCGTAAAAACTATATCAATCGTGAGTAAATTCGCCTCCCTACTGATGTTTCTTTTCAGAAAAGTCATTACGCCTTGCTTAAGTCTGAACATAGCTATAGGAAATTAGCAAAAAATTAACCGTTTTGTCAACGATATTTCTCCCTCTAACATGCAAAATCGCGCAAAATAGTACCAAATTCTCCAATCAGCCAAATTTATTTCAGAATGTTACACGGAAAAAAATTCTGATTGAGATCAAGCGAATGTCTGGTGTTCTGATGAAACTAGATCAGAATTCCTGTCGATGCTGTCACAAAGTTGTTCGAACAGTTGCGAGTTTTGTTTAATCAGAAACTTAAATTCGTTAACTGGAACTCTAAATTCTGGTAGCTTGAACCAGAATTTCTAATCCATTCATATTTCATGAAACATTTGGTTAATCTAACCACATTTTTTTCTCCCATGTAGAAATTCTCTGTTCATTCATTCTTGTGATTTTTATCTGAGGACGTCTTGCTCTTTTGCGCGCGCTTTTTGCTTTAGTAAATGCATTGCACGCGCCAACTCTCTATACGTTCCGTACTACGTAATAATTAGCGCAAATATAAGCAAGTGTGAAATGTGAAATGTACAGTTACGAGACGTTCGGCGCATTTGCATGCAAGTCGCGATGATAATGCAAGGCGCCAGACAAAACTGTAGAATCGCAACAATATTTCTTTCCCTTACATCTAAGAGTGCGTTCCTTTTACTGCGAGTACTGACGCTATGACGTCATGACAGTATACTGCTAGTAGCGTTCCGCTTTAACTTTGAGCACTGTCGAGGTGTTGCAAGGTGATAAATGGAAACGCATCACCTTACTGCCGCTGCTTTACTTCTCCAGCTACAGTAACCGCAACAGGAAGTGATATCAAAATTCATGACGTCACAAACTCGTCGAAGTGCTTTCACAGTGCACTATAACCTATTTCGGAACGCTGCTGATAATACTTGCAGTAAATAACAGAACACTTTAATTACCTGGCGAAGATAACTTGCGCATCTCAAAAAAATTGTGAGATTTTATGATTTAAGAAACAAAACGACCTCGTTGCATCTAACTTAGAAGCAACCGACATTGGAAACTAGTTGCGGCGATATCAAGATATCGATAAGTCGGACTAATAACAGGCTCTATACCGGAACTTCGGCGGTAGAATTGAAGTTGCTCTCGTGGGATCGAAAGTACACGAGTCAAATTCGCTCTTGGTAGCGTCAACTATTGAAACTGACACAACTGCACTCGTTCTGTCGGGGTAATTACCACTCTCGATTATATTAATAAATGAAATTGCCGTTAAATAATTGTATGCTCTACGCGGTTATATACATAGATCAATCATAATACTCACCGCGATGAAAATATAAAATCCGACTCGCTCTCTTACGAATATCCGAAATGAAAGTTCCACGATGCGGAACAGACGAGATAATTGATCTACACTGAGGAAGTGGGATATTCTTTCATGATATTTGCTGCCCACAGCGACCGCTCACACGAGATTCGAACGAAAGTTAATGTTCGAAAGAAGAATAATTGGACGGTATCCGCCGCGCGCCGTTCGATCGCATCGAAAATAGGTACGTCGTATACTTGACGAGAGTTCCATACTCATCCTTTATCTCTAGCTGTGCTTTAGGCACTCGCGAAGAATTTATGTAATACATTTTCACAATGACAAGTGGCAATATTGTTGCCAGTTCGAAAGAATTTAAATTTTCGACACAAAACAAGGCAAAACAATTCCCAACAGCTTCGCCGGTCTATTTCCCTTTCTGACTCGTCCTCCTGCCCGTCATTAGAGAGCAGAATAACCTACCTACCGACAAGAATGCCGTCTAATGCCGCTAGAGTTACGCACTGGCATAATGCGAGACATCTTTTTCTTTTTTTCTATAATGCTTTCACTGCCGGCTATATTGGGTAGGAAGAACGCTCGCATTCCACATCACAAGTGTGCGCTGCGTTTCTATCCTATATCATTTCAGCCGGCTTTATCGAGCTGAAATTGAAAAGGTCCAGACCAATAAGATTCCAATTCAAACTGAGAAAAATCCACAGTGAAAGCGTTGAACCAACGATGAAATTTCGCAATGCTTTTACTCGCTTTTATTCGCCTCTGGCAAGATTCCGTTTTCCAAGTTTCACTCTCACACCTCGCTTCTGCTCTTATTTAATTATGCTCGATTATCATTTCTCCGAACACCAGCTGATATGAGCATCAAGAAGTCGTGTCATCGACGAGCTTGACCTGTAATTACTACGGGAAATCCAGAAACAATTAAAGCTTTGATTGCAAACGCAAGTCGCACTCACGCTGTTCACAAATCTCCTCGCCAACATTGTTCCGTATTGTTATCATTGGGAAGATCACGAAGGAAACGAGATCGTGTAGATCGCGAGGCTCGTTAAATCTTACGTTAAGCCAAAAAGCAAAAGAGGAAAACAAAATGGTAGGACTATTTTCATTTCTTTTCCTAGCGATTCGCGAGTAAGAACGCTCGAAATAGTGAAATCTTGACGAAGGCGGGAATGTATCGTTACATGAAACGCGACACTTTCATTCAGGAAATACTGATCCGGCAGTGAACATCAACAAGAACCAACTTCCTGTGTGTTAGTCACACAAAACGTGACCGCTTCCCGGTCCCCTTTGGGTCATTTTGCAAATCGAGCAGAAAAATAATCACCAAAGAGCAACGAGTTTATCACGTGTCGCCGGTAGGCGAGGCTTACCTTTCAAAATTGACTCGCGTTATCACGTCACGACGAGACCCACTAATTCATCCTAGATCGCTGAGGATCGTCCGCACGTTGCGTCCGAAGTCGCCTCTGATCCTCCCCCTGGTGTTTGCTGCCTTTGATCTTGTGGGTCCCGTCACACCGGTCTCGTATAGGGAAAACAGTCGGTGGTTCTGTCGCGTACACGACGATTTTGCGGTAGCAACGAACTCCTCCTCACCGAATGACGATCTGCGTGCTATCTCGCGATATGGGAGCCGCCGATTCTCTCGATGAGAGCGGGAAGAACGATTAGACGAGAGGAGTGATCACCGAGCTACACTAACTGATACTCAAGGGAGAGAAAGAAAGGGAAAGGAGATTCTTCTCTACCGCAATCTACGAAATATACTTCGCGGCTGATCGATCTCGCGTGATACGATGTTTTCTATGGACTGAACGATCAATCGCTTCGTATGAAGTATACTGGTGCTTTCCACCTGCGCACCAAACGGATGAAGGAAGTGGGGTGCAAACGGGCGTTAGGGAGTTTAGACCCACTGTCGCAACACGGTCAATGATGGTGGGGCAAATCCCCCCGGCTAGATGACCAAAGCCCGCCGGGACTTTTACCGGTCCAGCTGTCTGCTCTTTTTCTCTCTCTCTCTCTTCTCTGCACCACGAACAATTGGTAGCTACTGTCACCGTTACGTCATTCATATTAAGAAAGTTGTGTAATTTAACTCGCTGACAAGCCGGCCTCGGCACGTATTACAGAACTCTTCGCAACCGATTCCGATCGGAATAATTCCGTTCTCTCTAGAAAAGACAATAAACTAGGTAACGGTAATATTCTGATCGAAATCGATTCCAAAGAATTCCATAATACGTACCTTGTTTCCCGTTTACAAACCGCGTACACGTCAACCTTCTAACGTAAATGGCACTCGCAAGACACTTCTCCGACAGAAGCACATGTGTCATGAGACAAACAAGGAATATTAATTTTTGCACGATCATTAACAAGGACATGTACATTAGCGTCGCATATTCCTACACACACACTCTTATTCGTGATTCTTATCTACGTGTAAGATTATACAAGATTATATAGATATGAGTATGTTATAAATATATGAAAGATAAAATTGAATTTCTCTTAAGTTCTTGGAATAATATATCAGTCAAAGCAAACGCAAATTCACTCGTAATATGATAGCGAAAATACTGATAACGAATCAGAACCATAAGATTGAATGTTTCGTTCAAACTTACAGTGGACTCCAAGTGAACAAATTCATTCTTACACCGGTGGACACTCTTTAACTTCGAGTGAGAATATTCGGTCGACTTAGAGTGAATATTCCATTCTAAGAGCGCAAAATCACTCGTATTTAAGTGACCCGTCTGCCACTCTATTGTTTCAATTAAAATATCACTTAAAAAGATTCTTTATGTATGAGAGAAAATTATGTAAAATATACGATTAGAATTACATACAAGAAAAAGAAATACTTATGTGTGTAATTGATTTATATATAAAATGTGATTTGTTTTCTAAAAGTGCTCAATTCATTTCGATTAGCATATTCACGAAGACTTGCCTTAATTTCCATGTATAATAGTTGAAGTCGCTTTTTTGCCCTCGTTACATTAACAAAAGTACATCACTAATGTAACATTTGATCTTGGAACACAGTGAACCTTATTAGCCTTGTAACATTCGGATTGTTTTTTTGTATTTTATACTTTGATATAAATATCAAATAAGTGGCTTGACGTGTCGTAATTAATGACACAACAGAGTGCTATTGACACACATTTATTTGCAAGAATTATTTTTATAAAAATATGCGGGAGAGAGAGAAAGAACGCGTACATTGTCGACTGTGTAACCTAGTAAAACACTTTATAGCTTTTAGCACGTAAACAGCCTTGTACAAATTGTCAGCGAAAAGTGAATGGCACGTAGAAGAAATCGGAAGGCTAGCCTTTTTGTGTGACGATCTCAATATTTCATTTAACATCTACTTTGACACTCTGAGTTTATATCAATCTCTGTGTATTCTATTCAGCCTACTAGCTTTGTCGAGAGATTCTATTTAGAATTTACAAATGGCATTTTGTGCGTTTTCTTTTGTACTCATAAACGCTAAGTAGGACTTCAGGTTCTATGTGTATTACATATACACTGATTCTTCAAAATATAATTGAAGTTAATAAGTGTTAAAAAGTTCGGGTCGAAAGTAGGGTTAAAATTTCCACTCGGAAAGTTCCAACTCAAATTTGCGTGACGTTCAAAATCTTATCACAAAATGATTTCAATGTCGAATGCGTCGCTAAATTTTATTCCTTTTTACCAAAGGCGAAAAATCATTAGAGCGATTGTGTATAATTAGATTGGTGCGAAATATAGAAGTATGAAGAGTACAAATTGACTTATTTCCAAGTCAACCCGAGTCGAAATTTTGATTCCACTTTCCTCAATATACCACTCAACATTTACTTTGACTCTAAAGCTTATATCAACCTCTGATGATTCGATTTAACCTACTAGCTTTGCCGAGAGGTTCTCTTTAGAACTTACAAATGGCATTTTATGCGTTTTCGTTTCTTAGAGACTAAATAGGATTTCAGTTTTTATGTGCATTACTTATATATTGATCCTTCAAACTATAATTAAAGTTAATAAGTGTTATAGTGTTCTATAAGTTAATAAGTGTAATAAGTGACTCGAAATTCCAACTCAAATTTTGTAGTTCACATTTTTCCTGATCTGCCAATAATATTCGGTAACAGACAAAAATAATTGCGACTCCCCGCGACTATACATGTAATTAATTATTGTGCCACTTCGAGTTCGCGAGGCGATATAAAGATAAATAGTGAGGTTGCAAGCGGTAGTTGCACGCTTTTTTACAACGTGAATCAGCGAAGCATACAATTTTCTTTGCCACAAAGTATACCCACCCATGCGATCGCGCCTGAGAAAAGATCTGTACTTGACAGTGAATAGAAAGCTTACCGATCTCCTGTGTAAGGAAGATTGATTTGAAAATTTGCTCGCACTAACCTAAATCTTCTTCTCCCTTGAACTCTCTCTAAATTAGTCTAAAATTGCTCCAGATATAAACAAATTTTTTGTTTACCGTCTGGTGACGGTATTGTTGAATATTATTTGTCTAATTAATCTCACTAATTTGCCTAATTAATAGATTTTTGAAAGAGTACATACATACTTTGCAATATTTTTATTAAAAAATCTTTGTTGATGTATTTATATGATGACCAAGAATTTGAACGACGCAAAATTAATCTTGTACATCTGAAAGATCGATCTCCTCACTTGAAAGAAAGATCTCCTCGTTAGATGAATTGTTAAAAAAGTGCGTTTGATTTTAAATTTCAACCACGCTCAGATTTCCACAAATCTCAACAAATTTTGGACGACACGTCATCTAATACGACGAGACAAACCAATCCTACGTTCTGCAAAACACGATACATTTGTAAAGAGCCGTTTAAGCGTAAATACTGCATTTCCTGCAATTTCGATGCGTTTGAAACAACATCAGAGGAAAGACGCCGAAGAAAGTAGTAATTGCCAGCATTATTTACAGCAAGAAGGAAGTAGAGAGACAAAAAAAGAGTGTAAAAGCAGCAGTTGTCAATTACTGCCTTTTACTTGATCGCGCGGCGATTTGCGATTGCTGTTGTTATTGCTGCTGCACCGCTTGCAATCGCGACTATTGCACCTTCATTTGCATACGCGAGAAAAACGTGCTCGAACTCTTACGGGTTCACTCGTGATTTCCTCAGCATCTCCGAGCATCCCTTCCTTCCGACTCGCCAACGAGAACCTTGAGTGCGATACCGTCGTATATAGGAGAAAGGATAGAAGAAAGAATCATCAGCTGAGCCATGTTATTAAGGCCACAAGAGAAATCGCGAGCGTGTCGTAGAAGATCGCATCGAAAAGAGAAAGAGAGAGAGAGGAAAAAAAGAAAAAAACTCCCAGCCAGATGAGAAGCGATCAGACAAGTCTGAGACTAGCAGAAACGTTTGCACCTTCAAGGTCGTTCGCTCGAAGCATGACCGATTATGTCACTGCCATTAAACGGTGAGTCGTCGCTCAATTTCCAGACATGCTCCCAAAGCGCGCATGTCAGAGGTAAACGATCTCGCGTTCTCTCTGGATTTAACGATCGGCGAAACGATCGTTCCGATCCAGTCACTGGCTGACCGCTACAAACCATACCGTTGCACGGCGCGACCTGTCTACGGTCTTGACAATTTGTCGCAGCCTTCCTTCTCGGTCTCTGCGCTAATTGGAATCTCATCGATTTTCCGCAGCAATTGGAAACAAATCAATCTGTACGATCAGCACCCTTATACTGGTCTGATCAGCGAGCACCGTTGGTCTCTCGGGCGATATACTCGCGAGAGAACTGATTCGCGAGGCGTTCCGAAAGTGACACCAAGTGCTGCGATGCACTACGCGTGTAATCCACTGCGTGCTTTCACTGTACCACATACACGCATTTGTGCAACACGTAAGACCGTTTCTGCAGATGAAAATCATAGCCGCGATTGTCTTCCTGCTTTGGACGATAAATCACAAACCTTCACCGCACAAATCAGACACTCTGCGACGGGCGTCGTTAAAATAGCAGCAATTCGATCAACTTGCCAATGGCGTCTGCAGTCGCTGCTACTGTAAACCGAGATGAAGTCGACTCGCGGACGAGGAGCGAGCAATTTTTCGGTAGACGTAGAGAAAGTACGCCACTTTCATTTCTCGATAACGAATTCAAGTTAATCAACACCTTTTGGGCCGATTAACATAATGCGACTATTAGATTCAAAGATAAGAAAGTAATAGCACAATAGATAGTGCAACTCGTGTTTATTACTTAATTATTACTTAATTAAGCAATGATATATCTCGCAACCATGTTATCGCCTCGTTCTAATAGCTATTGTAATAAGGTATAAATTATCCATACGAACATGAATTATTGTCAGCTACGGCAACATATGGGCTGCGGCAACGCATGAGAAATTCCGCTCTTTGACATGAAAATAAATAGGTACAAGTAAATGAACACGTGTAAAGAGAAATATATCTGAAAAATTAACGCTTTGTACACGTCCTTAGAAACAAAAAGAATTTTGTGAACATAAAACATTTTTTATTTTGACACAATACTTTGTCTTTCCATACATTGACATTTGTACTTTCACTCTGTAAAAGTATTTGCAATTCTGTGCTGACAAGTAGAGAAACAATTCGAACTGCATTATGTTGGATATCAACACTTTATCCAGCACCTTCTTAATTCTGATCGCTTTTGTTGTTTTGATTTTTAAGTGAGCAAATTTCAATATTCAATAAAAATATTTTCTCGCGTGTATTTTAAGGTTTTATTTACTCAAACATTTATTTCCATGAATTTATACTTTTTATAATATAATCGATTATTTCGTTTACCAATATAACAGAGTAAGAATTTTTTGATCTTATCAACGCTCATATCAAGAAATAATGAATCATACAAGTTAATAAATGTATAATGTTTATTCTAGGTCAGATGAGTGAGAAATACAGACTACATACTTCTCCGAAATAAGAAGATTTTTGCTTTTTAAACACCTAGTATCTCTTACATCGTTCATATACAATTTTTTGCAATTTTCAGAATATAACATACAAAAGAAGAGTGTTTTTGTCAACTAGACAATAAAAATATATCTTTAAAATAAGACTCGAATTCACGTTAAAGCTGATACCCAAATCCATCGATAACATTGCCGCCATGATGGCGTCACACGTTGTCCAACCGAGTTCAAACAATTAGTCACGTCAAATCCCACACTGGGCAAAGAAGCAGTTGAATCAACAAAATCGGCAGTCACACGACTTAAAAAAAAAATATTGTATTTATTGAACAAATTACGCGTTAGTGCAATAATAAGTTGCGTCGATTGCGTTACTGACTAAATCGCAATCATTAAATCGATAACCCTAATCGCAGTGTAACTGTAGAAACTTGTTCAATCGACCAAATTTTGTTCAAGCGAATTTTGTTCGTTCAAACAAAGTCTCGTTAATTTCATCACTTTTTTCCCGTGCGTAATAACTTCTACCCACACAGAAAATTTGTTTACATCGCGGATAACGTCCGCGACCGAGCGAATCTCTACTTTCTTTTTAATCTTTTCCATCCGAAATCGATCGCCTAGTGATTATTTCGACCCGTGTATTCCGATCCCGAGGTTGGATTGTGAAACCTGTCGCTTCCCATCGCAGGATGCGGCATATTTTTGCGAGGAAACTCACAAAATGCGCGTTCGCTTACACACTCGAGCGCATATCGGCGAGCATGCCGGCGTGTTTTACTTTTACCTCACTTTTACGCTCTTTTATGCCAACCAAGCGGCGAATACGGGTCAACC